AAGGCCGTAAGCAAATCGGCCAATCACAGTCGAGCGTTTTTAAACGCGAGATCGTAATTTCGATTGTGATTGGTTGATTTATTTGCGACCTTACGATTACAACTAAAATTTTTGTACGTGTGATGGCCTTGACGCTTGCTGCGTCCAGTGTGAATTAGGCATAATGGAAATACTGTGATGTGAGCATGCGCTGTTATAGAAAAAGTGCACGAAATTTAAAATTATAGGTCTGTTCACGTGTTTGAAATCTCCAAAAATTTTTGTACTTAAATTAGATAAATATATATTCGTGCGTTGAAGAGAAAGAAAACGAAGATGCCTAGTGTAAAAAGTGCAAGCGAAGCGAAAAGACCTTATGTTTTAGATATAAGTATAAAAATTAATTCAACTTCAGATCAAATAGAAGATATTACAGAAATTTATGTGGGAGATATTTTTGTTTAACAAGATTGTATGCCTAGTGAGTTTGTCTTGAGATTTTAAACTTGTCAATGGAATCGATCAACATTTTGTAGTTACATTGCACTTTCTTTTAATTGATAATTTTCTTCCTTATTTGATTATATGCTTATTTTAGAAGTGAAAAGATTCGTTTTCAACAATCAATAATATTTTTATGTATTTATGTATTGAAATTTATTAAATATAATGTAATATTATATTATAATGTATAATGTAATACAATATAAAACTATATGTAATATTAATTACAAAAGTTGATTTTATTTCTAAACAATTTTCTATTCTTTTTTACTATTATTCCATTTTTATTTATAAAAAGTTATACATTAAATTTTAATTACATATTTATTAATTTAACATTTTACTCTATTCATTTTATCTATAAACTTATATCATATATAGTATCAAAATAATATTCAGCGCTACTAAAAAACAGTTTTTTACGGAACCTAATCGAACAAATAATATAATATATATGATTTAATAATTAAGATTTATTCTTTTTTTTTATAATTTAAAATATATATAAATTCTTTATTATGAAATATTCTCTGCTATAAAATAGTACGGTAGATACACATGTTAAATTATTTAAAATGATATGTAGATTATAAAGTTGATTATCTTGGAGGACAAGACAGAAGTAACAATGGCTTATCTTTGTTGCACAATTTCTCTGTCAATTTGATTTCAAGACAAAATTCGAATGCTTAGTCTAAATATATATATAGGGGAGAGTGGTCTAAATCGGACCTATTTGCAGTTTTTGCTCTCTATAAGGCATAAATAAAGTCCGATCATAAAATCGAAGGTGCTGTTGGAAAGATCATTTAATTCCCTTCATTTTTGCTTCAGATTATTTTGACGTATCCTCTCACTTGTATTAAACTATAATGGAAAACGTAAAAACGCTTTTTCCAGTCCGATTTAGAACTATTGGTTCCAAATCGGATCATCCCCTGGTTCAAATCGAAAATTCCTATTTTTATGAATTTTTAGATAGAATTTTAAAATATTTTAATGTATTTTTCTTAGTATTGAGTAAAAACGAGCAGTTTTTAATTTGACAGTCAAAGATAAACATTTTTTTCGGAAAAAGGAAATACTGACTGTTTATATTATTAGAATTGAAATCAATAAAACTCAACTAATCTGAGTCTGATGACTCATGATATTTTACTGATTTAATTGCTTGGACCAGATCTAGTCAGCCGATTACCAGTACTACAACCAGGCCTATAAGTTATTCACTGTACTGTCCGATTTGGACACGGGTCCTTTCGAACTTTGGAACAAATTTTACAATAAACCGCAAAAGTGATCACGAAATGCTTGATATTTTTTAATTCTACACTCTTTAATTGTCTTAAATCAATTACTTTCCAAATTTTTAACACCTTTTAAATAATGATTTACAAGGATTTTCTTTTTTAAAAAAATTTTCGCACGATGGCTGAAAATACATATTTGCCTCTATTTTATGAATGTTATGACAGAGAACTGTCAAACTGCTATCACATGTTCGGTGTCTTATAAGGACTTTACGTTATAAATAGTACGCAAATCTGCTTAACCGTATTCATTTAAATTAAAAAGGTCCTATTTAGAACACGGTCCGATTTAGACCACTCTCCCCTATATGTTGTTGATTGCACCATTGATTGAAACTGAAATTCAGTTAGCAAAAGATCTTCATTGTAATTGCACGATTAAATAATTGTTCTGTTAATTTTATAATTTTATGAACAGCTTTAGTAGATAATATCAAATTACCATTTTCAATAACTATTTTTGAAGAATTGGTAAGCGTTTTGATAAAAGGCATAATTTGCGGCATCACTTACAAATATATTTAAATAGTAATTATTTATTATATTATAATTAAAATTTATACAAAATTTTTTATAAGTTTTATTTTTCGTTTGAATCCATATTATACGAAATTACAAAACCACATAACGCTTATTTGTTACAACAACGACATAATTAAAAAATTATCATTTTTTAATTGCTTGCGGAAGATGAAAAGAATAAAGAAAAAAAAAGAAAAAACATTTAAAAGTACATCTTTTTATTCCTATATAATAGTAATTATTTTGATATTCCTCATCAATATAATCCTGATAGTAATCTGATTCCTCTACAATCATTTATTGCAACAAATTTGCATTTCAAAATTAATATTACAAATTTTTATAATTTAAATTTAAACATTGAAATTGATTTTTTGGAAAATTTTGTTTTTAAGTTGTGTTGTTATAATAAATAAATGATATATAAGCTATGGAATTCTTTGAGAAGATGCTACATTGAAAAACCAATCTTATAATAATTCATCTAATAGGTATTTTTTGCAAATACATAAATTTACAGTATCATCATAAATTGGATCATATTTCTCTAATCGCGCTATTTTTTTTAGTATTTGAGCTCATTATGAGAATTGCCTATATTGCCATTGCTACTTGCAATTTCATGATAAATCAATAATTTTTATAAACAAATAAAAATTATTAATTATGATTTATTTTAACTTTTATATTATATATGTAATATATATATAATCTTTTATATATTATATATATGTAAAATAATTATATATACGACATATTCAAGTCTCTTCTATGGCTCCCACAAAATCTGAACACTGAGTAATCTGAAATAAATGTTCAGTTAGTGAAATTAAGATTATACAAAATAAATTTTCTCAATAATTTTAAAGCGTGTAAAAATTCAATTTACAAAAGCACCATAAAAGTAAACAGTTTTATGTTAGAAAAAAATGAAAAATTTGTGTACTTCAATTCTGCTAATTTCAACAGTAACGAACATTTATTAATAATTTTGCTCACTTTTTTGTTTCAGATCACTAAATGTCCAGATTTTATAAGAACCATGAAAAACTTGGACACATCGTGCAAACATTTTTATAATTACTATAATTTTTATTATTTTTACTTTCCAACATTATTAATTATAGATAAAATATATATTACAATATTATGTGTATAAAGTTTAAAATAAATTGTCCGTACAGTTTAAAAAAGAAATGAAAATAGTCTTTTTTACTAGTCGAAACGATAATCTTCCGTTAATAGCGCAAAAACATAAATCTAAATAATTCTGCTAACTCAATTCATATATTAATAAATATCGAAGCTGAGAGTTACTTTAACATAGTTCAACAGTTTTCAACAGCTTGAGCAGCTGAGTAAATTGCTATAAAGCCCATCTTACATAATGTTTTGAAATAATAATACTCTATTTCATTTTTCAACATCAAAATAAAAATAAAAATTTCTTCTATTCATGGTCGCTATATACGTTGATTCTCTCACCTGAAGAGAACTTCATATGCTTAATAAGAATTACGCGAATTCAGATAATCAAATAGAATATCTATAGAACGAATATAAATCAAATCATTGCTTCACAGCCCTAAAATTCTGATCTTCAAACTGTTCATACAAAACTCTTAAAGTATCAACTAAAAATCTAAAGCATCAACAACACTGACTCAAAGTTTTGGCAGTCAAATTAATTTTAATTTTTAAAAAATATTTAATGGTTTAACTGTAATTTACTTCTCCGTAATCTTTCGGTTTCTTGAAAGAATGCTTAAAAAACAATATATTTTTCCACTCATTTTGTTATCATTATAAATGAGTATTCAATCACCAAGTACATTTCGAATTAATTTGAGCATTTGATACTATCAAATAAACATATTTTTGAATTATAGGATAAAGAAAAGAGAGGACCCTATAAGATTAAATGTCAAATTTAGTACCCAATATTTGTACCACAGACACGTGCTCACT